ACACATCCATTACATCTGAAAAAAGATGCTCAACTAGTTTTCTTAACAGAAGTCAGAGATCCTAACCTTTACTACGTCTAGCACTATGCTGCCACATGCTGCCCATAGCAGGGTACGATACCGAGTAACAGCTATAACAAAAACATGATCATTAATCAAAATGTCAATACCTGAACCGAACAGCACCATGTAAAAGTATGCATATTTCACGCAGGATGCATGTGTATTTTTCTTCCAACAGGCTGGTGGTACACCATTCTCTTTAAAGGGGGTAGAGCATATGTACAGTGTGCTACATCAGTAAGTAGGAAATGTCTTATTCTTCCTTACAAATATGTACCCAAATGCAAATGTGCATACTTTTACAGCCATATATAACATACATTTATTTCTCTATATCAATGTTTAAATAAAAAAAAATAAATAAAAATTTCTTCAGAGAAAGGGTTGCCAGGCACTGGAATGGGCTGCCCAGGGAAGTGGTCAAGTCCCCATCCCTGGAGGTATTTAAAAGAAGGATAGACGAGGTGCTTAGGGACATGGTTTAGTGGTGGGATGGCAGTGTTAGGTTAATGGCTGGACTTGATGATGATCTTAAAGGTCTTTCCCAACCTAAATGATTCTATGATTCTATGTAGCATATAAATTAGAAAATCCAGTATTATCCATAGAAATGAGAAATGTTTCAAGATCAACACTGTACATTCAGCTATCTCTTTCTGTCCAGAATTTGTGAGAAAATTTTCAAAACCCATCCTTAGCATTCACTAAATTAAATGGCATTCATGTTACAATACGCACCACTTTCTTGTCTCCTTACAAAATTAAAAATGCCCTGTGATGATTTGCAAGTTTATTATTTTCTCAGTTTTTTCTGTGGTTTCAAACCACTTGGTATGTTTGATTATGGTCATCAAAACCCACATATCTACACTACACTACTGAATGGGAAACACGGGTTTGCATGGCATATGGCAACCAATTACTGTACAAAATAATGCTGTACGGAATGGTAAAAAACACAACACAAAGTAAAAAAAAAAAAATCCATGACTGAAAAATGTAAGCTAAAGCAATGACTAGAGTTCGCTCATGATTATCACTGACTGTGTTGTTCTCAAAGATTATTTCAGCAAGGATCTCTTATTTGCTTGCTATACAAGTAAACATTTGCTGACTTATTCCATTGCTCACAGGGTCTGTGGAAATTCAGGGATGGCAATACTTCAGGAGAACACCTACTCCAAGCCCAACGCACCAACACAAGATGAAATAAAGCTATTATCACATGCCACAGGTATGCATCTAACCTGTTCTTAAAAATTTCCAAGAAAGGAGCTTCCATTACATCCATAAGAAAGTATGCCCACATCTTCTTTCCACCTACAGATTCATTAGACTAATAATGAAAACCTTTCCTTTTTTTAATAACTAACCTGGTTAATCTTGGTATAAATTAAATTTACCACCCCTACTCTTTCACCAGTGGGCACTGGAATACAGTTGATCATCGTTGTCTTTACAGCAACATTTTACGTATTAGAAGACTTATGTCTCCCCTTTAGTACTTTCTAGACTAAACAAATACAGTTCTTTAAGCCTTCCTCATAGGTCATGTTCTCTAAAACTCCTGTCATTCTTGTTGTTCTCCTTTTGTCCCTTCCTAATTTGTCTATCTTTCTTAAAGCATGTTGATCAAAACTGTATACAGCTTTTCAGATGAGGCCTCACTAGTGCTTGAAAGAACAGAATAATCGTTTCCTGCTTCTTTTCCAGTATTACATTCATCCCAGAATTAGATCCAACTTCAGCACAATAGTATTGCTCACCATGTGCCAGCAATGTGCCCTTGTTGCCAAGAAGGCCAATGGTATCCTGGGGTGTATTAAGAGGAGCGTGGCCAGCAGGTCGAGGGAGGTTATCCTCCCTCTCTGCTCTGCCCTAGTGAGACCCCACCTAGAGTACTGTGTCCAGTTCTGGGCTCCCCTGTTCAAGAAAGATGAGGAACTCCTAGAAAGAGTTCAGAGGAGAGCAACAAGGATGATATGGGACTGGAGCAGCTCCCCTATGAGGAAAGGCTGAGAGAGTTGGGCTTGTTCAGCCTGAAGAAGAGAAGACTGAGAGGGGATCTCATCAACACATACAAACATCTTAAGGGTGGAAGTCATGAGGACAGAGCCAGACTCTTTGCAGTGGTGTCCAGCGACAGGACAAGGGGCAGTGGGCACAAACTGAAACATAAGAGGTTTCAGTTGAATATGAGGAAAAACAACTTTACTCTGAGGGTGACGGAGCACTGAAACAGGCTGCCCAGGGGGGCTGTGGAGTCTCCTTCTCTGGAGATATTCAAGGCCCGCCTGGACGAAGTCCTGTGTAGTATGCTCTAGGAGAACCTGCTTTAGCAGGAAGGTTGGACTAGATGATCTCCCGAGGTCCCTTCCAACCCCTGCCATTCTGTGATTCTGTATTCCATTGCTGCTGTACACTATGTGCAGTTCAGATTCCTTTTTCCATGCTATTGCCTCATCAGTATATGCTACTTCTCCCTTGTAAATGGACTTGTCTTTACTGAATTTCAGATTACTTATTCTAGACTTTCTCTCCAGTTAATTGAGACTGGAGCAGCTTATTGAGCAGTTTAACTGCTCCTACTATGCCTGCAGCATCTTGCAGCTTGGTTTGTTATCAACAATATTCATGGTTTTTTTCCTTTTCATCACTGAAATAATTTCTCAAAAAATACTTCACAGAAGCAGATAAAGGACAGACCCCTTTGGAATCCTGCTGTAAATGTCCCTCCTGTCTGGCAATGAGTAACAGAAAATGTGTCTGTAGCATGTTATTTGTATCAGTTGCACACCCATCTCATGGTGATTTCATAATTAATCATATTAAAATAGTATTACTTATAGTTACAGCTTTTATTATTGTAATGCATTTTACATCACAAGTTAATTACATTACAAATTAATGTTTTTATTTGTATATTGTTGGGACAGTGTTAAAGGCCTTGTGAATTCAAAGTATGTCACAGCTACCATTTTCCTCTTTAGCCATAAAGCCAGTTACACCATCAAGGAAATTAGATTTGCTTGACATAATTTGTCCTTGACAAATACAGACAGACTAAATATAGGATGGGCATGCTATGTAACAGCCATCTAGACCTGCATTCTGTTTTAGAGAGTGGCCCAAATCTGTCACCTAGGCAAGAGTGCAAGAATAAAGTGAATACATAGTGGTAAACATTCTCATATCTTCAAGAATGTAATGTAAAAATGGTTTATCTGGTCTAGGATAGGAACCACCAGTTGATGATTAGGAAGAGAGGATATGGGTGAACCAAGTATAAACTGATCTGACATACACTGAGATGGATGGATAAATACCATCATTCAGTCTGATACAGGCATCAAGCTACTGAAAATGAACAGTAAAAAGACTACTGGCTTTCTATTGAGTCACTGATTAATAATTTAGTCCATATCATCCCAGGGTCTAACCCAAAGTTACTCATAAATCCCCACACATTTTATTTGTAAAGATGAGAACTTTGCCTTCCTTGAACCTCCAAGGATCTCCTATATCCTACATGAGCGTTGTTGAATATAATCGTAAATAGTTCAGAGTAACTGAGAATACCAGTACTAGCAAATACTAGTAAAATAGTATTTTATATGCTCTGTCTTCAGTCACGTAGCCATTTCCATCATTCACGTAATTTCTTAAGTTTTTTAAGTTCTTGAAGATGTTTTGATACAGATTTTCATTAAGCTTCTTATCCTAAAGGCTAAAGAGTCATACAGTGAAAAGAATTTTATCTTAAAATTTGAAAGTCATCTTCAGGCCAGACTCCATCCATAGCAGACAAGCGCTCCACTTACTAAGCATATTCATTTGAAGTGGAATAGTGGCACCCAGTATCAGCTGGAAATGCATGGCATGCTGGCAGCATGGCTTACATACATGTTTTAATTTCAAAATAGAAGTTTGTTTCTTGACATTTCATCTACTACAGCTCAGCTTCTTTCATTTGTATTTCTCGTGATTTAGCATTTCATACACATATACAGGTACATGCACACATGGACACACACAGTATTTTTTTACCATAATACACTTTTAACACTATCAGATCCAGACAAATCAGAAAACAACTATGAAAACACTTTCACTGGCAGAAGGGTATTTTAAGGATGAGATAAAGTTGTCACTAGAACTCGAAATACTATTTTGGTGTGTATATATACACATATAATGTATATTTAATATAATCACAAAGTGAATTAAAGAATTTTTTTAATATTATATAATGATAACTAGCTATAATTAATGCCTATAACATTACTAATAGCTATAGCAATGCTATAGCACTATTTTCAATATTATAACTATAAAATTAAACCAGATACTTTATTTTTGGTGGATCTGGTCTTTAAGCTTTCCAGAAATAGAAGGCACAGCATTTTCTGTTTGGAAACATCTGTTTCAAACACATAAAACAATAAAACTTTTGGCCAAGGTGTCTGCTTCACCCAGTTGTCTATCAATCAGAAGTACTGAGCCTGCACACTGGACACTCAGCAACTGTCTGCCTATTGACAGCAACATTATCTGAAAAACCACATTAAACTATTCCAAAAGACAAAGTGTTGCAATGCCAATAAACCACAGAACATCATAACCTCCTTATTCCAAACATATACAGTGTAAATATTAAATTAAACTATGTGACAGTCAACTTGTTTTAATAATCTTGTATTTTAATTTTCACCTAACTTTAATAAAATTAATATTCTAAAATATTATCAATTAAAGCAAATGGGTTACATATTTACAAAAATATTTTTGTTTAATTTTTTTTGTAAACAAATATTGACATTTACAAAATCAAAACAGTATTGGGCTTATGGAGTTTTTTTCACCCCGGGTGAAGGAGAAAAGGTTCGATGCTAGCATGCTCAATTAATGTACTCTAGAACACCATGTTATTAGGACAGTTATTTGCCCTTTCTGAAACACAGGACTCTAAGAAGAATAAAATTCTAAAAGAACAATATGGAATTACTAAACATTTTGGAAGTAAAACATTTTTGGATTTTGTTTTATCTTGCCTAGTTAAAAATGCATCTCTATTCATTTTAAGCTATATCTGTTATTTGAAAGTTTCAACAGATACTTTCAAAATCAATTTAGAACTATTGGTTTACAAGTTGCCAAAGGGAACTGCTGCACAGATTTTTCAATACTAATGATTAATCCATCTTCTCTAAATAAACAAAAAATTATTCCAAAAAGTGCATACTTCTGAAATCACTAGTAAACACTAGTAGTCACTAAGTAGGAAATTTTTCACTGATTTTCTGCTGAAAATGTTGACTTATGAAACGCTGAAAATAGCTGCAAAACTTCTAAACAAAGATAGGGAAGGAAAATATAAAATACCAGACAAACAGCCAAAATGCTTAAATTGTTTCAGGGGTGGAAATAAATACCAGAGCTATTAGTTTCAATTCAAAGAACACATCACTTGCTTCTTATTTCTTTGGAATATTTATTTTATCTTGAAATATCAACACAGTAACATTATAAAACTGAAGGTGAAAAAAGAGGTGACTAACCTGATCTGGAGAGGGTCTGTGGTTGGAGTGTTGTGGCCTCCCAGGAGATCGATGATGGTGGTGGTGGTGATGGTGGTGGTAGTGGTGATGGTCATCATCATAGTTATCTGCCATCAGTTTCATTCTGTTTTGTGTCTGTTTAAGATGTAAAGCGAGACAATTCTAGTACATGCTGGGACATATTACTCTAACAGTGTTTTAGGAAGATCTTAGCTCTTTTTTTTTCCTCCCCTCTTGTTTTTTTTGTTTGGTTGGTTTTTGTTTTTTTTTTTTTGTAGCTGCAATGATCTAACAATAGAAGTCCAGACTGCTGGCTCACAGAGAAAAGGAAACAGAAATAGAAAAAGATAACGAAGTATGTGAGCACATCATCTGTCTCAGTTTTCACATGAGTAGAATTGCAAAAAGAAGTCAGAAAAGGGTATGATCAAGGATGCTGTGTTTGAAGGGTGTCAACAAAGACATCAAACTTTTCTAAATGTACTGGTTTAGAACAGTTTCCTATTTTTTCCAGTCTATTATTATGTCTTGCCAATTAACTCGTAAAATGTCACTGAAAGGAATATTAAGTGTATTTCAAATATTTGCAGTTAGCTACTGTCAACAGCGATCACGAATAGTTATGCTAAAAGCTCTATTCTGGCTTAATTATTTTAATTGCATACCAGGATCACCTAAAAGAATCTGAAAACTGATACAGACACAGGCACTTAGAGAAATAAGTGATTATGGAACTTGACACATGTTGCTGAATGAAAGTCCTAGATATGGATCTTGAAAAAAAAAAAAAAAAATCAACACTTCAGCTACTGCAGTGTACAGGTAATAAAATCTGTGTCACCAGAGATAAAAGATACATCGCTGCTCTTTATCACTATTAGAATTATTCCATACCTTGAAATAGACAGACTGGAATAATTCAAACCTTGGTCAAAATACCAAAAAATCTTACTATCAATTGCCCAATACCAGTGGATACAGTACTTACTTTTTTCTGTTAGTAGGACTGAAGGCTGTCTCTGACAAACGTGTTAATCTGTGATCAAGCTTTACTCATTTTTTCACTAACAAAGCCCAGGAGAAAATGCTGTCAACTCTCAAAGTCCTCTTCCAAAATTAGAAGAATCAATTACACACATATACAGTTAATATCATGCAGATGACTGAAGGAAAGATAGCAGTCTTCTTCAAAAATCTCACCTGAACCCTATAGGAGAAAGGTTATTCTTCATGGATCATTACCCTCTTGGTGCCAATTCTCTACGTGGACATCATTAGAGTTGGTCAAGCACAAACAAGTGTACTTTGCACATAGAGACTTTTGGTGAACAGTTAAGATAAAAGAATGAAATCAATTGCAAAAAGCCACAGTTTGGTTCTAGCCATGCTCCGAGGTAGCAGGATTCCTGCT